AATCTCAGTATTGCAAAACTCTTTTAAGTTTAAAAAATCAGTTTATTTATATTTCAGTTCATTTTAGCAGTCTGCAGACGTTAAAAAACAAACAGTCTTCTTCTTGCAGATTGCAGACTTTTGGTCCACCTCTTCTGTTGCAGATGCCTGAAAATGTGATCCGCAGACTGCAAACCTTTTACCTCTGTAAAAACAAACATCACCTAATTGATTAACTTTGATATGAGTGATTATGGACGTATTTTTAACTTTGCTTATGGATCAATAAATTCGCAAACCTTTAAATAGTATTTAGATAAATAAAAAAATAGGCAGAATTTCCAATCCACTTGTGAATTTATAAAATCTCTACTTATAAATTAATAATTTATTAAATAACTTTAATGATTAAAAGAAATGTTATTTTTTAAAAAAATTGAAATTAAGCAATTGCATCTGTAAATTATCAATAAAGTGAAAAAAATTATATATATATTATTTTGTAATCATTTCATATTAAATAAAAAATAAACTGTTTATAATCGTTATAACCAAAGTTAGGTGTGTGACTCGAATCGGTCCAGATTAACCAGAGCAAAGCCTTGATAACCGGAAAAAATAACAAATCTCACATACAAAAATTCATTAGGTTGCGAACATTAGAGTGGATAATGTTGCATTAATAAAATTGGCTTCATCATGTTTACCATTGCAAATGTTATTAAAGTATGGGACAATTGTCCTCTCATTTAGGGACGTTTGGTTCACGTAATGTAAGATTACCATTGAGAATAACATTTACTTGAATTTAACATTATTATGAGAGTGTTGTATTATCTTGCTTGGTTTGTTTAATAAAAATGTAAGATTACAGTTGGTTGGAGGAATATAAGATTACTTGGATATTTTTACCAAATTATCCTTGTGATATATATTTTTTAAAGTTAAACTTTAATATTAATTTATAAACATTTAAATGAAAATACATAAAAATATTTTAATCGTTATAATATCTAATTTTTGAAGGAAAAATACATTTAATATATAATTAATATAATTAGTATATTAAATTTATATTTGTAAATAATGTTCATAAGTATCATATTTATTTATACAAAATATAATATAATATGAAAAAAATATTACGATATTGAGTACATAAAAATATTTTTTTCAATATATAAGATACGTTTTCTAATAACAAAAAGTTAAATATTATCTTAAATAATTACAATTTTACAATAATATTATTTTTTTCATCCCCTAAAATTATAAATAGTAAATATGTCAAGTATTAAAAATATATAATATTTTAAATTATCAAATCTATTAATATTTTATTAAATCAAACTCTTTGTATATTATTATTATATTTATAATTTTGAGTAAAAGACAAAAAAATAGGAATTGAGAAGGTTTGTTATTAAAAAAAATCATTAGTTCAAAGATATTTTTGTTTAAAGCAATGTGATTTATACAATACCTAAGAATTTAAATGTAATGGCATTCTATTATTTTTTATCAAAAATTGCTATTTTTGAGAAAAAAAAATATTTACGAATAACATTCATTTCAGTAAACCAAACGTGAGAATATAATTCTAAAAAGATTATTTACTTTGATAATAATATTTTTCGCGAACCAAACACACTCTTAGAGTTCAACTAACGTTAATTGGCTCCGATCACGAGAACAATGGCTCAATGAATGGTTCACATTGATGAACATAGCAAGTTTTGTAATTGAAAATTGGAAATCCTTTTCCCTTGATGGGACAAACCATTAGAACATAATCATCTTGGAACTTAAATCAACTTGTGTCACCTCTAACTACAAACATGATAGATTAAGAAGGCGGGTGAAGACAGTCATTTATCGTGATATACTAATTTTAAATTTTTATATATTTTTTATTAAAAATATATTTTTATCTCTTAAAATTTTATAAGTTTGTCTCTTCTTAAAATCTTTAAAATTTACTCCATAATATAAAATTTTATGTATATCCTTAATTACTAGCTTAGCTGTTTAAGCCCATTTTTCGTCCACATCCTTACAAATGGAGAATATTATACTAATTGCAAATTAGGACAAATAATATTAAATTTCATTTGATGGGGAGCATTCAACCGGCCATCCATATGCTCTAGAATATTGTGTGATTATTACATGAAGGGACAGCTAATACATGATGAACTAAAAATAATAACCTTATCTTAACTATACCCCCTAACCATGTTGGTTTTTGTTCAGGTTGCAGGAAACAATTTGACTCAATCAATTATGGGTAATTCACTTCTTTTGATTTGGGTGAAAAAATCATATTTGATAGAAAAACAGTTATCAGTTGATATTTAAGTTCTCTGTCTACAAGAAGAGGTAGAAGAGAAAATGATGATTAAAGGAGAGTCCAAATCATTTTTTTTTTGGTCTTGATCAAGAGATTTTATAGTAGCTCTATGTGTTGGTGTTAGGCATAGAGTCATAATAGATATTCGTAAGTTGACATGCTAAGTAGATATAGTCAACTAGTTGTAGATTTTACTCTTATAGCTCACATAGGCTTGTTAGAGATCATGTCAAGAGATTGCGACTTTCTAATGAGTATTATGTGTTCGAGGTTCTTTCTTTAAAGATGTTCTTTCGGGATAATAACTATGGAGGTATCTTTTGCAAGATTTGAGGTGATGGTATATAAAGATTATTCGGCAGAGGTATAACATTTGTCTCATTTAATCAAATGAATGTCATAAAATGACTTATCCGAGTCTTGACTGTTAAATCATTATTGATATTTAACAGCTCTTTGACTCATTAAAAAAAATGAAATATGTCTTATATAATTTACAAAGTATTGAGATATTCACCTATGCAATAATATGACTTGATTGATGGTATTAAAGAAGTTGCCCATGTAAATTAATTAGTCATGATATATGAGCGACATGTCATAAGGTCCTAGTAGTTGTATAATGATACTTTAATTTATATTGGCATTTTGGTGCAATTGTGGTACTTTGATGCATATTGACCACTTTACATTATCGTGATGACTTGTTTATCCTAATTTATGCAACTGTTATTTACATTGGACTAACTGATACTCGTTTCATATGAAAAAGGAATAAAATATGCGTGTATATAAATGATCATGCCTTAAACTTACATTATAAGTGAAATGTTACGAATTATATATGTTGTAAAGTGTGATTTAGAATAACGGACGGGTTAGTTCAAGTGGTAAGTAGTTTGATATCGCTTAAGTCAGTTTAAGTTTTATTTTTTGTGTATGCAAAAAATCCCCGCCGGAAAACTCACACACTAAAAGCAGGTGTGTGACTCGGGTCGGTCTTAATTAATCTGGACTAAACCTTGAGAATCAAGAGGGAAAAAAAAGTGAATTAGGATATACTAAGTGCTTCGTACTTCTAATCATATGAAAAAAGAAGGATTCATCAATACCCTTGAATGAATTATTCATAACACGAAACCACATGCTAAGTTAGGCATAATGTTACAAGGCTTATTATGAACTTATGTGGCTAAGAGATGCTAGAGAATGCTTTTCCATGAGTACGACTTAATGTAATGGTTTTACGTTGTTGATTTACTAGCATGTAATTATCTTGTTATTGTTTGTTATTCATTAACACTAATGAGTTTGAAATTTAGAATGTGAAGAGACAGAATTAGGATCAGATATTGGGAGGAATAAGGTGTCTAAGTTAAAAATAATGACTTATTATGTATTTAATCTAAAATATTAGAAGGGACAAAAATCTATTTCCTTTAATTTAAACTGATAAGAACTTAAAATATTATTAGACCAAAAAATTTAGGAAGAGAAGAGTCCCTCCCACTCTCTATATGCATCCGTCCCTAAGCATGTGAATTGTTCTCAAGTGTAGGTGTTGTTCGTGTAATTCGAGATAAGATCGGAGAGGTTGCATCATCGAGATAACCATAACGACCCCGAAAAAATAGCATAAGGTTTGCTGTATTCATTAACGGCATGTACAAGAATATTACTCGGTGAAATCAATGGTTGAAATGTAAGAATTTGAGTTTTGTCAAGCCTAATTGTGATAAGTCATGTAGTATTTGTGCGCATGAACCATGATGATTATTAATAGCTAATGGTTTGGAACTATGTTTTGGAGGGTATTATGCTTAATCGTGGTTGGAGGTGTCGGTAAAGTTATGCCAAGATTAGGAATGGATCAAGGGGAGGGCAGGAGGAGGCAGTCGTCCTCTAATAATCTCAATTTTTTATATTTTAGATAATTTTTTATATTTTCATTTGAAAATATATTTTTCCCCTTCAAATTTTATAAGTTCATCATTTCTTAAAATTTTATAAATTTACCTATAACATAAAATCCTGTATACACGTCCATGCATAGCTTACATTTAGAGAATACATCAGATCTTGCTATGTATGTGCATTTGCCATGCCAACTCTGATTCCATGTAGGTTTTCAACATTCAAACTTATGTGAATGAAGTAGAACCTATTTTTGACGTTGATACCAAACACACTGTTCAATTACACCTCTAGTTGCCCTTATGTCCCTAAAGGGTCAATTATTGCATGTAGATCCCTACAATGGTGTGCATGAAAGAAATGCTTGCACATAACTATGAATACTTGGTTTTCTTCACACCTTAGGCAGTCCCTAGATGATGATGAAATGTTTATTATATAGAGAGAAAACCCGTTTATTTATAGGAAAAGGGGTTTTAATTGCTTAAAAACAATTTTTATAAATTATATAAAATAAATACTCCTACATACAGACACATAATTTTATTACACACGCATAAATTTTATGCTAAAGGACGAATTTATAAAATTTTAAGGACAAAAATAAGTTATCAAAAGAAAATAAAAATAAAATATTTAAATTATATGAGAATCTAAAATTTTTTGGGGAACCCACCAACCTTCTCTCTCTGTCCATCCCGGACTCCTACAATAGCCGCTAGGAAATTTTATAAATGTATAGTATCTAAAATAAATGGTTCTACCACTTGATAAAATGAAAGCTTAGTAAAAATCAGAACATGAGAGGTAATAAACAATCTGAGGTTGAAATCAAAACATTGAAACAATAAGATCTTATGCACAAAATGGGTCTAAAAATACAAAGTGGAAGCGATGAAAATGTTAAAAGTATCTAAAAGAGTGGTTCATTCAAGCAGAGGATTTCTCAGCTTCTTCTGCTGCCTCTTGCTCTCTCAACTTGATCAAAGATGGGGGTGGCTTAACAACAATGCTTTTCTTCCATTGCCTATCCAACTTTCTCGACAATCGCTTGTTGATGCCCTCCTCCAGCTCTCGTTCCCGTTTAACGGTAAGCATGCGAGCAATCTATAAAGTACAGCACTTTCTTCGTCAAATAAATCATAAAACTACCATTAATCTTCACAAAAGAGATCAATGATGTATGACTGAAGTTACATTGTAAAACTAGCCTTAATCTTCACAAAAGAGAAATAAAGTATAACTAAAGGTCAGGCTTTAATTTTGTGCCTAAAGCGTGCACAAAATAAGCAGTGCAAAATCCAGCAAAACTAGCTGCTTTTTCTGGGTCCTTTCTCAGCTTTCTTTGGATGGTGAAACAAACAAGAATCATCTAGGAAAAATCCAGCAATACCAATAACATGTGGAAGGAGCAGAGACATTAGCCATGCATCAAAGAAATTTAAAGTTTGATTTCTGAAGCCTTGTAAATATTTAAAATTACACAGAACAACTCAGGTGTGGCTTTACAATGCCTCAAGACAAGCATCATCGTTTATCTGCCTTTTCGTCTCTTTCTTTTGCAATGTAACAATAGAACTGGGATCATGGTATGCAAAACCCATATTTTGTCCTCAATCCAATTCGGCAAATATTATTCATTCCATGAATAATTCTTCTGAAACGGTGAAATTATATTTATATAGAATCGTCAGAATCAACGACCTTTAAATACCCAACAACCTCAGTATCTCACAACGAAAATATAATAATTGTAATAATAACATGCAAATGAAGGAAGTATGCTCAACTACAGTCAGCAGAAGCTTATCTTGACAAATATAAGGCCTACAGCATGATTATGCTTCAGCGGTTCACTAAAGGAAAGACATCCTACTTCCTACCACACACCAATTCCTAGCCATTCTTAAATGACTTCGTTTTAGCCTCTATTCTCTTGCAACTTCCCATAAGTGAAATCAGAACACACCTAAATGGCTATTACTATTTACTAGTGTTCCAGCAAAGAAATATTTGGGTAACATGAAGCTGAGGCAAACATTTGAGGTTTACTGTCATATTTCTGTACCATAGCTTAAGGAGTTTAAAGGTCACCTTTACATGCTTTTGTTTAACCATCATATCGGCTCCTCAAACAATGGTAAGGATAAATACCATCGTTGTTATATATAATAAGTATACCAATAAAAGACAATGGCAAAGGGTCTCTGTTATTAAGTCCAAATAGTGCTTAACACTGTCCAGCATTTAAGGCCATAAACACCACTGTCCTATATGGTTTCATGTATCTGCTCTTTGTTCATCCTCTTACTCTCTTGACGTTGAATGAACCGGATTTGACAAAATAATAATAATTACAGAAGATGTAAAAGGCAACAAGGCATGGTTTCACATGAAAAATAGAACATTTCCTCCACTTACATGAAAGGTTTTAAAACCCTTTCTCCTGCCTAAATCTTATGACCTTCCAGTGCCATTAGGCGATATGAACATTGGTTTCTATACATAATTCAACATAAGCAAAAAGAAAGCCGCCCAAAATTTAAGAGGAAAAAAAGCTTTATAAGCAACCATATGTAATAGCGGTGATCAATGAATACCCATACAGGCATACACTCACATGCATACTTGAAAGAGATAAGTTGATGGTGGTTATGCTATTCATAACATCTAAACTTCACCATATCCATCTTTTTTTAAAGCTTCTTCGAACCACAATTAAACGGAAAACTCATTGGACTGAGAACACCACTCCATAACATTCTCTACCTTTAGTGAGTAGCGATTATACTATATTATTGTCACTTGCATCGTCCAATCAAAGTTTAGATTTTCGGCAATTTAAATCACAATTTACATCAAGTTTTTTTGTGAGATTTATAAAAATGACATTTCTGTTCTCAGCAAAGTTCTCCAGCCCCTACCTATGTTAAAAACTGTGAGATTTATGAATTGAAATATCCGTTCATTTGATTCTCCCTATCTTAAAATAAGTAATACCCAGATTCTGAAATCCCATTTGAACTTCAATGCAACTGTTAAGAGAAGATCATTTGGGGAAGGGGGGGGAGAGAGAATACCCTTTTGCGCATACGCCCAAATTCGCTGGACTTGAACTCATTACGAACCGATTTCTGAAGACGAAGCATCAAAAGCTCTCCTTTTAACTCGACCACTTCATCGTTGATTTCCTCAGTCGTTTTGGCTCTGATTTCCTTCATTTCTTCTTCTAGCTTCGCCATCATTACCGAAGACGACGAAGCGGATGGCTTTCGAGACGAGGTCGTCTGAGAAGCCAACCGTTGGGGACATAAATGTCGGATTCCGACGCCGGTAAAGGAAGTTTTCTGGATTGAAAATTTGGGTTTTGGAGGGAAAGTTAAGGAAGCTGGAGAAGCAATTGAGCCGTTCAACATTTCTGCTTAATTGAATTCAGCTCTATCGTGGCCTTTTTTTCCTGGGAGTGTAAGCTCGCTTCTTTCTCTAGTTTTAGCATTCAGAATATAGAGATAAGGCATTTTAATCCCTTTTTTAGTAAACTATAAATTTGGTAGTTTAAATTTACTTTCTCTCCTATTTCACTCACTATTCTTTAGATCTTTTCAATTTTTTCATTGAACTTAATACATTAATTTTTTTTTGTCACTAAGCTGTTTTTCCACTAACGACGTTATAAATGGGTTGTTATATAGATATAAAATGATATCATTTTAGTGAATTTAAAACAGTTTCATTTTAACACCGTTAACTATTTAACGGCGAAGTGACAAAAATTTTCAATGTATCAAGCTTAGTGAGAAATTGAAAATTTTTAAAGTTCAATGAACAAAACTAAGAGAGAGTAAAATTATGATAAAATTTGTAATTTACCCTTCTTCTTTTTGTTGGGTTTTTAATCAACGGCTAAAAGGCTCAAGTCCATGTCCACCTATCATTTAAAATTATAATAAACTATGTGAGGGTAATCCGACTATTATTTTAGTCTCGTTTTAATTACCCGGTAAAGCACTCAAATGGCTATAGATATCGTTTTATTGAGTTTTAATTATAAAATATTAATTTGTTGAGTCTTTCAATTATAAAATATTCTTTTGTTGAGTCATTCGATTATTAAAAGTTATAAAATGATCCATATATTATAGAGAGTTGTTTTGTTGAGTCTATCGACTATTAAAAGTTACAAAATTATCACACGATTATTCATTATGTTCCAAACTCGTCATTTTTCATTAAAAAATTAATTATCGTCTGAGTTGAATGTTAACATGCTGACTGAAATATGATAGTCGTTTGAGATTATGATCATTTTGTAACTTTTAATAGTCGATGGACTCAACAAAATAACTCCTTATAATTAGAGATCATTTTGTAACTTTTAATAATAGGATGACTCAATAAAATAATATTTTATTATCAAGGAATCATTTGTGTACTTTATCCTTAATCATCTAACAATGGGATTGATTTTTAACGGCTTAAATATACAAAAAGTATCTAATGTATGCTCGATTTTTCAGTTCAGTGTCTAACGTTTTTTTTTCCAGTTTGATGTCTAATGTTTCATTCCGTAACTCAAAATGAGTCACACCATGACGGATCGTTAAATTTTACCATTAACCCATTAAAAATGTCACGTTACATATTTTTTAATATTAAAAAGTATTTCTCTTCTTCTTCTCCTCCTCCTTTATCGTCTCCAGCTTAAATTTCAGTTACGGCGCGACGAACTGCAGGAGTAGGAGGAAGAAGTGCTGAACGACAGCTGCGTTCATTTCTGCTTCCCTGAAACTGTTGTTGTGCAAATCTCTTTTGAATGGCGGTCGCTAGTTGGGAACTGAATTTTTCCCAAGATAGTTCTGTGCTGAAGTAACACGTAGTTCTTTAGTAACCTCTTCTCTCAATCTCAACCGTTAAGTCTTACATGAAAACTTTGTGAACTATGAAGCTATCTTTTACTCTGTGGAATGGTCTTACATGATATGTTGTTCCTTGATTAAAGAGTCTATAATGAAGCTGCAGCAGTGGGATACAAAATCCTTCAAATTAAATTTGTGGAACAAAAACATGTCTGATGGTCCCTCAGATTTATAGTAAAGTTTCTAGGAACCTCTTTCTAAAATCATAACCTGGTTTGCATCTGCTTTGTGTGTATAATGTAAATCTATAACTGCTAGCAGTGTAACTTATTCTGATTTCTAATGATTTTATATCTAATGGCATAGGCATTCAAAGAAGCGATTCAATAGGAATAGTTTTTTATTCTGGTCCTAATGTCACAGACAATCTGCACAACTCCAAGGAGGCAATTCGTAGAGGTGAATATGTAGTCATTAGAAGCCTGATTCAGGTCCTAGAGGTATTAAATACCATTACTTATTCTTGGTTGATTCTTTAATATTCTCTTTTGGCTTTTTTTTCTCATCAAATAGTGAAATTCCTTTAGGGTGGTGTGGAAGGGAAAAGACAAGTGGACAAGGTCATTGACAAATGTGCTTCCATGCAGGTATGGTTTTCTATGTATCCATTATATTCAGGTTTGCTCTAAACTTAAAGTCTTGTTTGTAATAAAACTTCTGCTGATCAGACGATTGTCATAATTGCTTCCTAGTTTATATTTTATGGTTTTTACCTGCAAGATCTACAGCAGACGATTGTCGTAATTCCTTCCTAGTTGGTATTTTATGATCTTTATCTGCAAGGCCAACTAATTTATTTGGCAGGTGCATACAACTCACTGATGTTTTGCTTTAAATGTTGATACAGAACTTAAGTGAAGCAATTGCCACTTAATTTAAGGGACCATCAGACATGTTGAGTGCACATTTTTCTTCTTTTCAAGTTGAAGTCAACCATCCGTACCAATCAAGTTGAAGTGCACATTTTTCTTCTTTTGAACGTCGTGAATGCGTCTACCTACAATGTGCTCGATGGCATTACATCGTTCTTTAGTAACCTCTTCTCTCAATCTCAACCGTTAAGTCTGCCCGAATTCTTGCAAAAAGTAATCGAAACTGACGTTAGCTACATATTCTTAAAGATAACCCTGACAGAAGATTACTCGGCAGAGAGCTCTTTACAATGTTGTGGTGTCAGTTGAAGGAAGTGTTGATGCAAACGACAACAAAGTAATGTAACATAATGTAATGTATGCAGTTTTTTCTGTTCCATTGGAAAAAAGAACTTTTCTTTCTTGATCAGAATCTTTGTTTGTCTTAATGCTCAAGATTTGTGAAAACTTTGTTTAGGTTGCAAAATCCCAGATAGCATCTTTAGTGGCAGATGTTTTCTCCAACACAGCAGTGGCAGAAAACAAGGTACGCGCATTCAATTTGTTTTTTCTTCTTCTTCTTAAAACCTTTGTTACGAGAGTTCGTTGGTAAGACCATTGATCTAACGGGAGATATGAAGCCAAATGTAGCATTGATTGATCCCATGAGTCTGGTTTATGTAAAAGCTTGAATTCTGCATGAAGCAAAGTATTTAAAGCCTGCTTGAAGTAGGATTATCTTCCTGGTTCAATTTTCGGTTACTTATATATCTTAATGGTTGCTAAATGAGACAGGTTGTGGAAGTTTCTACTACTCCATCAGCTCCATTAAAGAGTGTGAACAAAATTTTCAGGTACACTGCAATTGGTGTTAGTTTATCAATTTTATCTATCCTATTCGAACTCAGGTATCTTGTTACTTGCTTTGAAGTGGTATTCCTGAGGATGGAAGAAGGAAAGCGTATTCCGAAGCCATGGCAAAGGTAAAGCTGAAGAAGAGGCGATATTAACTGCTGAGAAGGCTCGCGAGGCTGCTGATGCAGCGAAGAAGCCGGAAGAGGAAGTGAAAAAGCTTTCAGAGTAAGAAGCCAGAGCAGCTACACTAGCTGAAGAAGCACAAGAGAAAGCACATGCTGCAGGTGCTTCTGTGGGGCCTGTTGAGTAAAGCAAAAGACTTCAGCACAGGACTATCTTGGGAAAAATTCAGGTCCCAACTAGTGACCGCCGTTCGAAAGAGATTTGCACAACAACAGCTTCAGGGAAGCAGAAGTGAACGCGAAGAGGAGGAAGAGAAAGACTACAACCGCAGCTGCCGTTCAACACTTATTCCTCCTCATCCTCCCGCAGTTTGTCGCGTCATAACTGGAAAGCCAAGCTGGAGACGATAAAGGAGAGAAGAAGAGAAATATTTTTTAATATTAAAAAATCTACTACGTGACATTTTTAACGGGTTAACGGTTAAATTTAACGGTCCGTCACGGCGTGACTCATTTTTAACTACGGAATGAAACATTTAATACTAAACTGAAACGAAAAAAACGTTAAGCATTGAATAAAAGAAGGGCATACGTTGACACCTTTTATATATTTAATTTATTTTAATTAATTGTTCTCTCTACATAATGATGGTGCGGAATGTAGGGGTGAGCAATTATGTGGATAGAAAGTTGAGTTAGCTAAATTATGAGTATTATTTAATCATTTATATTTTATTTGAATTTTTTAATCAAGTTAGATTTATAAATTTTGAGTTGAACTGAATCAAATATATTTATTCGAATTTTTATTCAAGTACTTTTCATATAAGTTATAAAGGTTAAAAACTAATTTTAGGGACTTTAAAAAACAATTGAAACAAGTTTTTTCGAATTCAAAGTTGAGGGGGTCGTTCCTTTTTTTCTCGATGAATCGGTCATTTTCGTTCCAATAGCCAAAAGATTAAGCATTTTTTCTGGAGAATTATAAAAATAAGTTTGAGAATGCATAATTGAGCTAGCAATCCAACTTTTAATTGTTCCTAAAATTACTAAATATACAATAACATGGTTTTTTTATTAAACATACTTGAATCATCGTAAACATGTCATCTCACGACCAAATTACACTTTACAACATCCAATCGACAAACAATCATGCTCATTGAATCATAAATTTAATTATATATTTATAGGTCATTTTTAAGGTAATTCTATAAACAGTTAGGCAATTTAGGTCATACACCAAGTCTTTCTAGGTCTTTGACGCATCAAAACAACCACGTTAAAATCACGTTTTGTAGTGTGATAGTCACGTCGACAATAGTTAACCACTCCACTATGACATTAATAATTTAACGATCTAATGGTATAATTTAAGTTAAAATTAAAGTCTAATATTATAATTGATAAAATTAAAAGTTCAATGATATAAATAATGTAATGAATAAAGTTTAGTGATATTTGATGTAGACTATCCTTAAATTTAAATACTAAAAATTAAATTTATTAAATTAAATTGAGTATAACATATAATTAAATGATGTCATTCTATTAATAGGTGTCGTGAGGATGTTAATTTCTGACGTTTAATCCTACTCTCAAACTTGGTTTTAATTTCGCATACTAAATTTATCAGTTTTTGCAGAATTTGAAAATAATTTTATTAAATAATATATTTTCTCGATGATCTAACCACACATAAATAAGAAAATATTCTTAGTGACTCACTTGTTTTTTAAGTTGCATTTTATTTTGTTAAAAAAAATATTCGTAGTGACAATATTTTCTCGATGATCTAATAACATATTTTATTTTGTCATTCTCTTGATTACGATATATAATATTATATTTTCTTATTATTTATTTAGTCAATATTTTAAATTAAATCAAATTTATTCTTTACAATATCTTTTACTTTTAGACTTTATTAACCTATAACTTTTAAATTATACAAAAAATTTTAAGGATATAATTTAATGAAACTTATATGCACTTTTCATTTTATATAAAAAAAACAGAAATAAAACATTATGACAATAAAGAACTTAATCCCACAAACAATCGATTGATTTAATGGTATTAGACACTAGATTTTTTAAACAATATCAAGGGTTCGAACTATGACATTTGTAAATGAAGCAAACTAAGTTAGGAGGTTGCCTCATAATTAACCTCTGATATATTCGATCTGAATTAATCGGTTAATAAATCGATGGTGATTAATTAAAAAAAAAGCCGATCCCAATGATGACTATCCTAGTCCCAGAAGGTATTTTCCGAGACGAAAAAAAATAGTTGGAGCCCTACTTACTACGAAAAACAAAATGAATGAAAAACTTTACCGTGTTTGCTAAGTCTACTTGTGTATTTTGACGTTTGAATAAAATGCTTGAATGCTTCCTCTCTTCCTTTTCTTTTCCTTTCTTTGTTTAGTGAACACAATTTTGTTTAACATGGACGACCCCATCCTTGCTGCTCATAATTATGGAATGAATTGCCGATCGACTTCAAGTTCACATCCACCATGTCTTCCTCTTTTGTTAACGAAAGCGTTTCCATCCCCGGTAAAGCTGCGACAATCTTGTGGAACAGCGGCTGCCGTTTCCGATTCATGATGAAACTAGCAAGTTATCGAGTACGTGTTTGAATATGTGTACGTGTTCGTGTTTATGTTCAACTATCAAGTAGTGTTGTTTTGTTTTCACCTTGATGTTGAATCCTGCTTTAGCACTGGTTTCAATGAACATGATTCCAAATTCACGAGCCTTGTTATCTCCTTCCTCTATAGAAACCTGCCTATTTAATCGTCAAAATGGAAACAACATTAAGAACTACTCAAAGCAAAGAGAGCAAATAAGATCAACTTCCAGTGATGTGGAAAACAAATCAGTTTTCCAACCCCAACACTGACCTTTTATCAACAAGATCAGTTTTGTTCCCAACAAGGACAATAATAACATCACTACCCCGTTCTGTGCGTACCTCCTCAACCCACTTAGAAGTGTTCACAAATGATTATCCATCTGCAATGATATATCCAAGTGATGGATGTAAATTAAGGTTAACATACGCCAATTTAATGTTAGTGGTTTTCATGGGAGAGTTGTTTACCAGCGGTATTGAATTGTATATTAAATTACAAAAGCTTTCCATTATAATCAGCAAAATTGATTGAATATTGTGGTGTGAAAAAATTGCTTGAATAAGGTGTACCAAAAATTATTTCATTATTTAGGGTGATTGTTACAGTAACCTTAGGAATTCGTCGGGATTCCACGGCATTTTTAAAAAAGCGTGTTGACTGCATGGCGATTTTATGATCTCGCCATGCTTGTAAGGTGAGTTTCCATGCTGTTTGCATGCATGTAACCTCGCAGCAATGCAGTCTGGACGCGAGGGAGGTAGGGACACCAGGCAGCAACACCTGACGAGATCATGAAATCATGGAATAGGTATGGAATTCTGACGAGAACCTCAAGTTACTATAGCAATCACCTTAGATCACAAAATAATTCTTGGTCCATCTTATTCGGCAATTTTTTTCCACCACAATATTCAAGCAATTGTGCCATTATAATCTCTCGTCTACTCTATTCGAAAAGAAAAAGTACTTGGGTTAGCTTATGCTCACTTGCTAAATCATAGACAAATTACTGCAACAGAAGAATCTCTAAGATAACTTGGAATAAGACTCCTAAATCTCTCCTGGCCAGCAGTATCCCGGTGAAATTATAAGATGAAACTCAATAGAAGACGACAAGACAATTGAAAATTTGAAGAGGATATGAACTTTATAAGCCAATAAATTAGATTAATTGGGATACTATATACTATACTATTAAGTCTATAACCAAGCAGACAGCTGAACATGGCAGACTAGAAGCATAATGGCATTGGCATTGATGACTTTGGATTAGTTTCAATTTCCAAAAAGTATCACATTTCCCAACTGCATATAACAGGAAATGCTGGGAGATTCAACAAGAAGTGGTGTTTCTTTTTTTAACCAGCAGACAACAAATTATATTTCCCTTACAACAGCAAGCTCTTTTTAGAACTAATTTGTAGTCTAAAATCTAAATTATAAGCAATCAAAACAAAGTCCTTCAGTTCACAAGAAATGTGCTTATGTTCATTCAACAATTATGGAGCCGTGGAGAGTTGTATAATGCATGGAACAAATTATCCAAGATTACATTGTTAAAGAGAGAGAGAGAAGGAAATCATGGTACCAAAGCTGCAATCGAACAGTTCTATCTTCAAGATACATTGTTTTTGACAAAAAGACAATTCCTATAGTAGCCTGCAATTTACTTTTATCAAGAAACCATGAGCAAATTCTTCTTAAAAAGCTTAAGAATTATCAAGAAAAATAAACATATAAACAGTCAAGTCACATGTTCAATGATCTAGAGTAACAAAAAAATTCAAATTCATTGAATTCGAAACAATTACGATGGGCTAAAGAAAAGGAGAGAGATCATAATAGGCAAAATGGATAATAATTCCACATACGATAGAAACAAGCATTTCTAAACTAGAATAATTTCGTTCGGGATCAATAACGTCCTCGAATACGCCACCTAAATAAATTTTAAATAACGTAGGAAACAGAGGAACTTAAGAAACTGTCAAATCTGGTTTGAATCCGCTAGCATCAATGAATTGTTCAAAAATAAAGAAAAAGTGTTTACCTGGTAAGTGGTGTCGAATTTATCGTACATGAAGCGGGTGATGATGCCGGTTTTTCCAGCTGATTGATCGCCTAAGAACACCAGCTTGTATTTGGCCAGAGGGGACACTGTCGCCATTTCTGCAATTTGTTCGCTCGATTTTTGATTCTCAACGAGAGAGACTCAGATCGGAATATGGAAGGAAGATTGTGTTGAAATTATTGTTATTATGTTTATAATTATGATGATGGAAATGGAAATTAAAAGAAAATTAATAGAGAAGAAAAGGAAGGAAAGGCTTTGAGAATTGAGTTTAATTCCTCTGTTCCTTAAAATGTACCAAGAGCAGGAGAAACCGCCAACCATGACGACTCAAAATCTTTGAATCGGTTATCTTTCCAATTTTTTCTTCTTTTTAATAGTTCGACATGATTATAAGATAGTATTTATTCGAAACTTTTAAATCTATTGACAAAACACATATTATGTCGACGTAACTGCTTGAACTCAAGACCTCTAGACAAAATAACCTTCCCTTTTGAGTTCACTTGATGAGTTCCAATTTTATTATTTTTTAGATTATAATTAATACAATTCAAATCACATTATCATAGATATATGTTAAATTAATGTGGATGATAATATTTGAATTGCGACAATGGCAGACAATTCACTCTTGATTTGGATGGAAAATCACAATCGATATTTTATAGTGGATTTACGGGTAATTCATGTATTATAGTTTCCCTCAAATTGCTGAAGAAAAAAGATAAAGGAGATCTTCCTTTAATTCCAACGTGAGAGTTTTTTTTAATGACTATTAGTATTGTCAGGCATAAAATCGTGATGGCTACTTTTAGGTTGACAAATTAAGGGTCAATTTAATATTGTTTTTGAAAAATAATTTTTAAAAGTGTTGTAAAAAATAACTTTTAATAGAACATTTTAAAAGTACAGTTTAAAATTTAACTATTTGATATTGGCATCAAAAATTACTTTTAATAAGATAAAATATCCCTTTTTCACATTATCTTGTAAATTAAAAATATATTAATTTAAATTATTTTAAATTTATTAATATTTTAATATATAAAAATATCAAATTAAATTATTAAAAAAATATTTATAATAAAACTATAAAATGTTTAAAAGTATTTTTCCTGGACAAAACGTAATTAGTATATAATTAATACATAATTTATAAAAACAATTGGAGTGGAGCTCATTAAGCTTTACTTCTAAATGGAAATTTTAACTAGAAAAGTTAAAAAAATTCAATTTTTGTTGTTGGTTTAAAATCACTGTTCTAAACACTTTAAATTTTAGTTATTTAATGATGATTTTGATTTCAAACCTAGACTAAAAGTGCTCAAACAAATTTTAAATAAATATGATCATCTGATAATAGATTTGATCCTCGCATATCATGTGAATTTATCAGTAATTATGTCAAGAGTCTTATCAAGGGAAGATGATGTGTAGTAGAACATAGGATTTCAGAGTCTCTGATCGATAGAGGATATCTTTCGGAGGATATTTTTATTCCAGAGTCTTGTAGTAAAACATGGGACTCCATAGTCTCTGATCGATAGAAGATATCTTTCGGAGGACCTTTTTATTCCGAAGTTACTTGTGGAGGAAATTCGATAGCAACTCAAATTAAACTTGAATGAAAGTAGAAATCAAACTTAACATCTAAAAATTCCTTCGGCCTCAACAAAGCATGCTAAGTGTCAGCCTTTCTTATTAAGAAAATGTTCAATGAACACAAAAATTCTCATTACAGGCTTAGTTAATTTTAAAACTCCATTGTCAATAAACCGGATATTATTCCATCGATACAATCTACTTCTTCTCAAGCATGAATCTATTTCATACGTAAGTTTCAGTTGCAGATGTCGGAACCAGCTCTGATATCAGATCTGGAACAGGGCAACGTAAACGATCTACTGAACCCTAATTATATAAATGATGATCAAGGAACAATGGTAGTGTATTCTACCTCATTTGTACATTGCCTGGAGAAACTTGTGCAATATAATGAACCATGAAATGCTATATCATTCAATGCATGCATGTTGATAGGAGTGTAAATGAACCGAACTTGAATAATGTTATGTTCTCGTTCGTTTGTTTATTTTTTAAGGTGTTTGTTTTCATTTCGTGTTCATTTAAATTTTTAATATCATGTTTGTGTTCATTTATTTATTTTTGAAGGTATTCATGTTCGTTTATTTATTGTTCACGAACATGTTCGTTTAATGTTCGCAAACGTGTTCATTTATTTATTTTTGAAGGTGTTCATGTTCATTATTTATTATTCGTGAACATGTTCATTTAATGTTCATTAAGCGTTCTTTTAATGTTCATTTAGCGTTAGTTTAATTTCGTTTATATATTCAATTTTTAGTTTTACCCTTTCATTTGCAAAGCTAAAGAAAAATGATAAAATTACATCACTGGTGATTAAACTTCTTAAAATCTACAATTTAAATTTTAACTTTTATCATGTGTTCAATTTCGTCTCTATCTTCACCAATATTTAAAATGTACAAAAAAAAAGGAAAAGAAGAATCGGATAAACGAGCTTGTTCGTGAATATAAATGAATGAGTCGATAAACGAGCTTGTTCGTGAACATAAACGAACCGAACACACCTCTGTTCGTGTTCATTCATTTATTAAATGAAAATATAAAATTTGTCCATACTCGTTTATTTAGCTTAACGAACGTACATGAACGAACGTTATATGAACGGTTTATGAATAGTTCACAAACGCTCTGTTTATTTATACTCCTAATGATGTTGCCTAAAATAATCAGTTTTCTCCGTGAACCGTCTTCGGGTAACATGTGCCAGAACCTTATAAATAGACCTAAGAGACCAGTGCTAGGATTCCTTAAAGCTTTATATAAGTACCAAAACCACAATACCACATCTAAGACCGGTGCAATGCAAGCATTCAATGACTCTAATAATGCTATTTAGTAGATCATGTTACCGACCTACAACGACTGCAGTCATAGCTCATCATTCAGGAATTCAGAAGAAAATTACTTATGGAGGGAGCTTGTCCATATTCGAAATGCATCCGTACCAATGATTTTTAATAGATAAACTTAACACTTAAAGAAAACAGCAAAAAGAATATTATATAAAATACACATACATATCAGGAAAAGCGTTAGCAAACAGTAGAAACAGTACAAAACTAGGAGAAAAATCAAGCACGGGAAACCCAACAGTCAAATATATATGCATGAGTGTATGTCTGTGTGTTATTCACTAGAGAAGAAGGTAACCACTGGATCAAGAGAACAGGCATGGGCATCAAAAGGTAAAGTTTAGATGTTTCGAAATAAGTAAAACTACAGTGCTCTCATAATACGGTTTATGGATTTCATTGTAGAGAATTGCGGCAGAAATCGGAATCTATCAGGATTTCAAATAAGATCTTGCGAACATAAATGCAAAGATGCCAGAATCACAAAATGACTATCCTGGTCTGCAAGAAGAGTATGGAAAAGATACGCAACAAGCAAAAGAATGCATCGGGTTGAAGTTTGAATTGGAGGAAGAATAAGAACTCTTTACACATGAAGGCAGAAAAAGGTAACATGAGAGATGGGCAGCATACATTAAAGCCAGAGGAATTTAGACACCGGCACTCAGTATCATAAAGTTTATTAGTAGTACTCATCTTGTAAATATTTGTTTTAGAGTGAAAGTTTAACAAGTAAAACATCCTTGTATCTCTCTCTTAATGAATGAAATGAAACAAAGATGATCAGAATGGAAAGGGAAGTGTGTTCCCAGTAATGTAAGTCCCAATGGTCCCTATGTCATCAGACGATATAGCACATTATCCGAAAGGAACGGGATTCTGATTTTTGTCATGCAACTATCAAAGGTTATGCAGTTACTAGACCATCGCAGAAGCCAGAACGTCGACCGGAAAACGAACTTAGATTTCAGAGTCCTAGATCTCAGTGTTAAAATACAATATTTCTTACTATGAATACATGAGGTAGAATATAACTTACGATTTCTAAAGAAACAGCCATGAATTCACTTTTTCAACCACGCAATTCAGGGTTCATAGAAACTGCCTGACCAACAGTTAAGCTAATTCCATTACCACAACTAATTATCCTCAAACAGTTAAACAAAAACTAGATCAAAAAGCATATTAAAATAAGCAAATAAACCCAATTTCACATCAATTACACATCGATTATGTGAATAGCTTTCTTCATGTATGGTCCAACTTTTCCATTCAAAACGTTATTAGAAAAGACAAGAGTAAAAAAAAATATCAGAAACCCACGAATCCTACCTTCCTAACTAGCCTTCCTCATGCTGCTCCAAGGAAATTTGGTCTCTCCACCGCCACGGGCCGAGGCGTAAGAGCCCTTTCCTTTCCGCTTCTCCGCTCCATCATCCTTCACCTTCCCGTCGAGCCAATGCTTCTTCTTCTCACCTTCTTCAACAACGCTCTTACCCTTACTGGTCTTATTAATACCATCTTTTTCCTCTTTAATCACCTGGATAGGGAAAAGGTTGTGGGATATGGAGAGAGGGGTTCTCAAGGTGACGTAAGCTTTCTTGTAATCGGGTCGGGCGAATAAGAAACCGCCGCGTTTCTTCTTCTTGCCTTCCATGTTGAGAGTACGGACATTTTCGACATCGAAACCGTAGAGGGATTCGAGGACGCGTTTGATCTCGATCTTGGAAGCGGAGGGAATGGTCTTGAGAGCTATTTCCTTGATGTTGGTGAAAGTGTTTGGCATTAGTATCTTGATTGGAAGGTTTGCAAAGTGGACAACTCGTCTTCCTAATCTACCCGCCATTTCCTCTTTGTCTTTTGGCTAACTCTTCTGGTTTTGTAATGGCCGAGGGAAAAAGGGTTTTAATTCTGAGCTTCCTTTCCTTTGTGATTGCCAATGGAAAAGGGTTTTTATCACGGGCTTTGGGTTATAATAATTTGGGTAAACTACACAAACTATCAATAACTTTGAGAATCTTTTTACACTATTAAAGTTAAGGGTTAATTATACGGATGGTCCTTTATATTTTTGGTTTATTTAATTTTATTCATCAGTTAAGAAAAAAAAGTGATTTTGATTTCTCATACTTTCGGTCCGTTTAATTTTAATCATTCCATCGTTAGTTTTCTTTCACTCTTTAACTGAACAATTACGAAATACAGAAAAATACATATCTTCTTTTTCTCTTTATTTTTCTTCTTCCTCCATTTCCTCCTCCCGTTAACTAGAGCCGATTATCAAGGGAAGCAACTATACGACTGTTTAGGGCCTCATTTTTTACAAGGCCTCAAACTTTTTATTCTTACTTTTTATTTTTATAATTAAAGTTCTTATTTTTTTATTTTTTTATTTATATTTGACGGCCCTAAATTTTTTTAATCATGCCTTTTACATTTATAATTGAGGCTCCTAATATTTTTTTCAATCTCAACTTTTACATTTATAATTTGATACTCCTAATTTTTTCAATCATACTTTTTATATTTATAATCGATTCCCCCAATTTTTTCAATCTCATTTTGTACATTTATAATCGAGGCCCCTAGTTTTTTTTTCAATCTCAACTTTTACATTTATAATTTGAGGCTCCTAATTTTTTCAATCCTACTTTTTATATTTATAATCGATTCCCCCAATTTTTTCAATCTCATTTTGTACATTTATAATTGAGTTCTCTAATTCTTCAATATCACTTTTTACTTTTATAGTTTAGACCCCTAATTTCATTTTTTTAAGATTTGTTAACATAATATTAAATTAATTGTTTAAAGTAATAAAATATGTTTTATTCTATAAATACCTAATATTTTAATTTTATTCAGATTCTCGAAAATACCCGAGGCACTACCGTTAACCCATTCTCATTTATGATTTAATCGAAGTGCATTATATTTCCCTGTTCGAAGAAGACTTAGGTGATGTTTGTTTTTACTGTGTAAGGTCTGCAAAGCTCTTATGTCTGCGCCGCGCAGACATTAAGCTTCGCAGACCGTTTGTTTTTTAGAAGACAGAAGCTCTTCTAACGTCTGCGCGTGGTCTGCGGGCGCAGATGTGGTCTTATGTCTGCAGACGTCTTCTAACATCTTCAAAAAGATTTTATATTTAATTTTATATTATATTATATTTGATTTTAATTTTAATATTATTTTTAAAAAAAAATTAAATATTAATTTTTTAATATTATATTATAGATATTTAATTTTATATCATATAAATTATTTTATATATTATTAAAATTTTATATTTATTTTAATTATTTTGATTTAAGTTTAAATATAATAATTTTTTGGATTTGTTATTTTTAAATTATATTTAAACTTTTTATACAAAATGTAATTATTTAAACCACATTGCTTAATAAAAAATGATTTCATTGTTTGATAATTAAGATTTTAAAATATAAAAAATTATAAATTATTTTTTTAAAATTTTAAAATATAATCACAATTAAACAAAAAATAATCATTAAATAATTTAATAAATTAAAAAATTAAAAAATATTTTCTAAAAATATCATATAATTATAAAAATAAATTATGAATATATATATTTAAAAAAATTAAAAATATTATATAATTACATATTTAAAAAAATCATATAATTTAATGATCATTTATAAATTTTATTCTATAAAACTAATAATGCATGTGATTATGTGAGACTTATAATAAAATTAATAAGGTGATGTTTGTTTTTCTAAAAAAATTATTATTGTAGTTGTATGAATTATTTAAATTTCAGCATTGTAAAACTAAAAGTATTTAAATCTCAGTATTGCAAAACTCTTTTAAGTTTAAAAAATCAGTTTATTTATATTTCAGTTTATTTTAGTAGTCTGCAGACGTTAAAAAGCAAACAGTCTTCTTATTACAGACTGCAGACTTTTGGTCCACCTCTTCTGCTGCAAATGCCTGCAGATATGGTCCGCAAACTGTAGTCCTTTTACCTCTGCAAAAACAAACACCACCTTAGGCTTCATCCTCCCAACAAGTAAGGCTGTAAAATCATGTAATCGGACATGTTTCAGTCGGATCCTGGTCACGCAATTATTCCCTTCACAGATCAACATTCTGTTTTAAGCATAATGAAGAATCCAAGATCAAGAATCAGAAATTCAAGATTCTAGCATCAAGAGTCATCAAGGCTGATAACCAGGGATTGAGATTTCTATCCAAACCCTAAAATAACATATTTTGTATATACATTTTAGGCATACATAAGAGCATCACATATGTGCATAATTTTGCAGATTCTAGCTAGAGTCAATTTTCAACTTCTCAGCGAAGGATATTGGACTCGAAACGACACAATTTGCTCGAGAGTAGATTTCAACTTCACAAAGAAGGATATCTAGCTCGAAGCCAAACTTCAAAATAAAGGGGTCATACACGGTTTCAACTTCAAGGAGAAGGGAATCGTGTCCACCTGTAACATACAATACTTGGATTTCAACTTCACGGCGAAGGATATTCAAGTCAAGACTCAAATTCACGACGAAGGGGCCATCCGCAATTTCAACTATACGACAGAGGATATCGTACCCACACATCCACGATTTTAACTCCACGACGGAGGATATCGTGCCATTCGGGGCTCAACTTCACGGCGAAGGGCTTCCCAATTTCATAACCAATTTCAACTTCACATCGAAGGATATTGGACCCAATACAACACAAGCTCAACTTCACGACGAAGGGGCGGCTGATTGTCAACAAACAACTTTCAGAGTCAATTTCAACTTCACAGCAAAGAATATTGGACCCAAGACAACACAAGCTCAACTTCACGGCGAAGGGGCGGCTGACTGTCAACAAACAATTTTCCAGTTCCAGAACCAATTTCAACTTCACGACGAAGGATATTGGACTCAGAGCAATACAACTTAATTGGATTTCAACTTCACGACGAAGGATATCCAATTCTCAGGCTCAACTTCACAACGAAGGGGCCACCCACGGTTTCAACTTCACAACAAAGGGAATCGTGCACACAAGCAGCATCCATCTCTAGATTGGATTTCAACTTCACGACGAATGATATCCAACTCAAAGGAGTGTATGTCAATAAACTTTCCAGTTTCAGAGTCACGGCAGATGATATTGGCCTCGAAACAACGCAACTTGCATTGTATTTCAATTTCACGACGAAGGATATCCAATTTCCAGGCTCAACTTCTCGACGGAGGAGCCATATACGATTCTAAATTCACAAACAGATTGACCCAACTTGAAACAAAGTTTTGTCTCTCTTGAGACAGTTTATCTTAAAACAAATTTTGTCTCTCTTGATTCATTTTCTCTTAAAACAAGTTCTGTCTCTCTTGAGTTAGTTTCCCTTGAAACAAAATCTTTGAATCTGTTTCTCTTGAAACACAAAAAAACCTTTGAAATTATTTCCCTTGAAACACAAAAAAAAACCTTCGAGATTGTTTCTCTTGAAACACCTCCGAGTTCGACCACATTCAGCTCAGAGGCACATCATTTTGCAGCATAGCTTAAGTCGAGAAGGGCTATCTGCCAACCGAAGACCTTTCGAGTTCGATTCCATTTAGCTCTAGGGCTTATCAACCATATGGTGGAGTCAAAGAGCTACTATTCAGTCGAATTTTAACCAAGGTCTTTAAATCGAGAAGAAGACCGAGGTTGATTATAATTTGGCGACGAGAAGCCACGTTTTGATTCAAATTCTAAATTGCGACTTCAATTCCATATCATTTCAAGATGGGCTTGACTTCGCGACGGAGGAGCCATCTGCAACTCAATACGACAGGGAGTTATTCTTAATTGAAACATCATAATCAATTTTCAACTCCACCGAACGAAATTTGTGTCTTTTTTTATCTTTGTCCTATTTTTCGTTCCACGAAAAAGGATAAAGAGGGGCAGATGTAGACACAAAATTTTGATCAATTAACGTTTTTATATTGTATAATTTCAAATTATATTATATAATAATGTTTTACTACAAATTATGTTATATAGTTTTATTAATATAATTTACATTTATTTTACAGGCTTAAACAAGTGGCCCAGAACTAATACTACACGAGCCCAACAGACCCAAAAGACATAACCCATATCCGATGAAGCCCAAACACTTAGGCAACCCTAATCTCATCTCCCATCTCAGCGTCGCATGAAGCCAACAAAGCCGAAACGTTCGCCGGTTCCCTCACTCCACGCAACCGATTTTCTCGACAATGAACAACAAACCAATCAAGAGTCATTCAAGCACTAAAAGACCGAAGTAGTTGAGTCCAAATTAGACTCTAAAAATAGATGTTCCTAGACTATAAATAATGTGTAATCCCCATTGTGTTGGTCACGATTAAGATACAAAAATCACACGATTCTACAGGAGAAATTTCATTCAAAGTACACGCAATACAAGCAATTCTCATACCCGAGATACGCCAAGAACGATCATTTGAAGCATTTCTGCATAATTTCGAAGCAAAAGTAAGATAAAAAGATTACCTTTTCGATTTATTTGGCTTGCATGTGGCTCATTTTCTTTCTATTCTCTTCGTTTTGATTCGAACGAAGCCAAACATCGATGAACAGTAGGTATGAGCCGAGATATTAAAACCCAGATGTAGTCCTCGAGGCACATTTTTTTTTAAAAAAAAAAAATCGTTTTGATTTTTGGAACCAAAATCAAAAAAGCTTTCGGGTTTTTAAAAATAAAAAAACAAATTTTTTTTGCCACCGATGAACGGCGACCGGCGAGGCTTCGCGCCACAAGGTTCTGGGAACCACGGTGGCTGTTCTTCATGGGTGAAGAACAAGCAAGAACAGACAAAGAATTAGTGGGGGAGGGGTTTCAATCGATTTTGGGTTTGAATTAAAATAAAAGAGGTGTTATGGGGTTGGGTCTTATACCTAACCCATAGAGCCCGTTCACCGACCCGAGTCAACAGACCCGCGCGTTTTCAAGATTAAATGAGTAAACTACGCATTCAGTCCCCCTGGCTCCTCAAACCTATATTTTGACCCCACAGTTGATTTTAAACCCCGAATCATCTTTAAATTGGTCCCTAAATTTAGTTCTTTTTCATTTTTGTCCCTTATTATATGTTTAATTATACCTTTTTATTATTTGTTATTATTATTTTATTATCTTTTATTATTATTTTCCATTTCTTGTTATTCTTACTATTTTATTATTTGTTACTATTTTTTTAGTTTTTTTTCTTTTCATATTTATGTTATATATATATATATGTATTTAGTTATATTTTACTATTTATATATTTTTTTATTTCTTTATTTATTTATTTTTCCCTTTCCCTTATTTGTTTTATTTAATATAATATATATATATATTTTTTATTATTTCTTTCTTTTTTATTATCGTTATTATTTACATATATATATATTTACTATTTTCATTTTATTCTTTTGTTCTTATTCTTATTTTTTTTATTCACTTATTTATTATATTATTCTTATGTTCTTCATTTGATATGTTTTCTTTGTCATTGCATCTTTGTTTTTATTTCCCTTTCCTTCATTTTTATCTTATTTGTTTATCCTTTTTACTCTATCTTTTTATTTACCTTTTACTTACTTCATTGTCTCCTTTATTTCATTTTCTATATCGTAGTTATTTCCATCACCTTTTTATGTAATACGTTTCTTGACACTTTTTTTAAAGGATGATTTCAAATCAATCTAAGGTGAGCAATCGGGATCGTTATTTTACCTTTGAATTTTAAATTACAATTTTCTTAACTTAAGACAACTGAAAATTACGTAGTACCGAAAGGGCAGTTCAAGGGTGCTAACCCTTCCTTGACTGTAACCGACTCCCGAATCTGACACATCTTTGGTAAGACGCAGATCAGGTAAGAAATAAGGTATCCGATCTACCTATTTGTTTTAAAATGAAAAATCGGTGGCGACTCCAATTTGTTTAATCCAAGTCGAAGCCCAATTCTCGGGCCCACCAGAAAGACGGTTTCAACACTTAACATTTTCTTATCCATAAGCATATAATAATTAGGCTTTAACTAGTCACTTAATCTAGTCTTAGTTTTTAAATTTTTTTCAAAAAGGATTCTCACTATGTTTTAAAAATGGCTAGAAAGCATTATTTAAGAATAAACAATTTCACGCGGTAACAAACACAAATAAGAATGCAATAAGTCTAAATAATCCGACATCATATGTTGAAATATAACAACTAAGTAGACTTATTTGTCCCTTTAGCTCATGTCCTCTCCTCATCAACTTTAATAAGAGTGACTTTATAATTTATCGTATCATTTACTTCTTTGGGTTACCACCACTTTTAGATCTGTTGATTCTAAATTAAAAAAAAATCAACAAATTTAGTATCAATAAATGAAATAAATATCATAAAAGGAAAATAATCAAAAGATAAGTTCCTTTATTCCCATCAAATTTTGAGACCGATCTTGAATTGGGCATGTAACGCATTGAAAATTTGGTCTTTATATTCCACATGCAATTTCATTCGATCTCGCCTAAATGAATCTCGAAATTTTAGTTGAATTTGCTATTTAAGCTTCCAAGACCCTTGTTCAACCTTTTCCACCCAATTTGGTCCCTCGGAAATCACAAAAATAAATGTACACATCATTAATGAATGAAATTGGAACTTAATCATAAAAGAAAATGAAAGCTAACAGAATTAATTTACATAAAAAAAAGTAATAGATCAAATTGAATATATAAAGGAAATGATATGAAATGAAGTACCCATTTTTTCAATAGAAAATATGCGAATCTCTTTATTGGTCGCATGTAGAGTAATGGGCTAACCCCAAAAACCACGTAACTGTGGACTAATAGAAATAGAGTTTAGATGAAAAACTAGCATAATTCTGGGCCGACCATAATTCTCAGCTAATTAATTTTGCCCTGAAAAATATCTTTGGTTAAAAACCCACATGGATATGAAACTATCCCTCATTCTAATAAATAGGGGAATTTCAAAAACTAAAAAATCTCGTGAAATCACCAATTCCAGGCTATTCACGTTACCCTCCTTCTCATTATCCGTTTAGTTTCACAATGTGCATGTTGGACGTGTTCCTCCCAAAACAATCTTCTTCTAAAGCCTTTTCTGCATCAAAGCAACACCAACGTGCTACGGGGAGGTGAGCTATTTTTCTCAAATACCTTTTCGGCAATAGTGAATATGAACATGTCTGCCGTAACTGGATTCTTAGAGTGGATAACGAATAAAGAAAAAGCAATTAAAATAATAATAATTGTTATTATTATATCTGTTACGATATTAACGTCTCATATGAGAAAAAATTGAGATTGACTGACCGCAAATCTTCATAATGGAGATTCGAAAAATATGTTGATGTCGAACAAAGGCAGCCCACTAACGATCGAAGGTAGCAACACATTTGCCATTCTCCTCACAATTGTCATTGGTAGTAGCGTCTGCTATGGTATATTTCACACTTAGCTTGCATATTATGTCACCAGTTGAAATTGCTTTTAAATTGTCAGTAAAAAGATACCGTTGCAAAAAGAGATGTTAGCATTCCCTAACATAATAAATAAATAAAATAAAATAAAGACGATATAATCATAGTGCTGTATAATCACCGTCTTAGAAACAATTTCGCCCGAATTGATGTAATCCTGAAAATTGACATTGCCCTCTCAAGGTTAACACAATTTTTTAGATTTCGTACATCCGAAATAAAAAAAAGGAACTCACTTGGCATTGTTCTTTTCAAAGATAAAGGAGAGAATTGTAGAGAAAACAATAAATTGAAGTATAAAATAGTGAAATATAATTTGATATTTATAAGGAAAAGATCATGATAAATCAATAATAAATAGAGGCGGTTATCATAAAATCTCAACTATTCTTCAATATTTTCCATATATAGAAACAATTTTCTGAAAAAAATATTTATTTATTTAATTTTATTATTTGCATTATCCAACCATGGCTAGAGCCAAAGTGTTCGACTTTGATCCGAAAAAACAGCTGAGGCCCTACATGGAACCCATGGTCCCACTCCCTGGTGTCTACGACCCAGATTTAATTGCTGCCAACCAAGCCGAACGTGCCAATAACATCATCAAGGGGACCAAGAAAGAACAAGTTGAGCAAGTCATCAAAGATATCAGGGAGTTCAAGGAGAAAAACAAGGTGGACAAGGTGATTCCGTGGTTGTACTCTGCACTGCAAACACCGAGAGGTACAGTAATGTGGCTCTGGGGCTTAAAGGACACAATGGAGAACCTATTGTGTTCTTTGGACAAGAATGAATCCGAGATTTCTCCTTCCACTTTGTATGCTATATCTTGTGTTCTTGAAAATGTCCCCTTCATCAATGGAAGTCCCAAAACACCTTTGTTCCTGGTTTAGTTGATCTTGCCATTTACTAATTAAACATACGTAAAAATATTTCATCAACAATATATATTGACCTTTAATCAATTAATAATTTTCATGTAAAAAGAATCAAAATGATCATATGACATAAACGTTTGGAGTTAATTTATATATATATATATATAAAAGGAAATAACATTTATTTTCCAAAACAAAACAAAACCTTATTATCTTAAACAGAACCAATTCTTCATATTCCTGGAATTACCTATACATAAAAACGTCACGAGCAGGAGCTAAGCGGCGGTTACAAAAGCAACAGTTGCACAAAAAGGGAGAAGTTTGGAAAACCGCCGGACTTAGTGGCGACAAGGTTGAGAAACGTTGATGTTGAACAAAGTCGTTGTTTGGGGATTCAGGCAAAGGAGAATCTGACACGTCGGAAACAACCCCGGATAGACCTTTCATGCTTGTCGTCCTTTTCATGGGGTTGCTTGAAGGTTTTCCGGGCTTCATCGTGTTTGTTAATATTCACTTGACATGGATTTTCCTTATCGGTTTATTTTTATCAGCCTCTCTCTCTCGCTCATCATCGTGTTTGTTAATATTCACTAACTATAGAGTGTTCCTTTGTTAAGTTATTCGACTATTAAAAGTTACAAAATGATTCATTGACTATATGACAATGCTTTCTTGGGTTTTCGGCTATTAAAAATTACAAAATGATCACTCAATTATTCATATGTTCCAAACTCATCATTCTCTATTAAAAAATTAACTACAGTTGGAGCTAGACGTTAATATTTAACTGTGATATAATAAAATTTGATCTTAAAATCTCAAACAACTATTTTATCCCAATCAATATGTTAATGTCCAACTCAACTTATCACCAAATATTTTAATAAAAATTGACTAATTTAGAATATATGTATAGTTAACATCACTTATATGGTGATAAGTATTTTTGATACCCAAAAGTATTGCTAAATTGGGCTTAATCAAGTCCAAATTTGGGCTCTAACATATCTAACATCATTATTTTATAGGTAAACTGACTCATTAATCAAGTCCAGATCTATTCTGAGCATTGGGAAAAAATATCAATTAAATCATTAAATTTTTATTTTAATATCAATCAAGTTATTTATCATTAGTTAATTAATCAAATAGTTATTAACATAATGATTCTAATATTTGTATAATAACATATTTAATCCTTCACATTTATACCTTCACTAAACTAAGCTGAGTAATTATTATATAGTTGACAATAATAATATTTAAATTAAACTTTAATTGAACCCATCAAATGATTTAAGTAGTAAAAAGGATGTTGTTCTTCCTAGAGGTTCTAGGTTTGAACAATTTCATCTGTAGAGTGTATGTGTGTTATCAATTGATTAAAAAAAATTCTAAATATATAACTTGAAGGGGATCAAACCTAGGATATGAAGGTAAGCAACACTTAACCACCGCACCAACATTGATCAAGCATTGTTTTAATTTTATTTATTTAAAAGGAAAACAAACAAGCCTTTAAAAGAATAGTGAAAAAATTTATATGTAAGCATATCAATCTTATCCATAAATTTTAATAAATTTTATATTATAATTTTATCAAAATAAAACTATATAATTTATCAAAACTTATATAAATTAAATTATTATCATTATAATATAAATGTATTGTAATATATATATATATTTAAATTTTGGTTGTACTTATTTTTAAAAGAATATAATTATAAAATTATTGTTATGATTTATTTTAAAGGAATTTTAAGGGTTCTAAACTAGGTTTGTGAAGTTTGAGTATTTTTCGATGAAAGATACATCAGATTCATGTTCAAGAGGTAAAAATATAAGAGAATTAAAAATTTTGATGTAATAATCTTCGATGACTACACCGATGGTGACTGGTGATGGCAATTATTGGCAAGCGATAATGACTGATAACGGTGATGTGTGGCAACCATTGTCGTGGACTCTAACAAGATTCACGAGTCAATTTGATATTTTATTTAAAGTTTCAAAATCAAATTGATATTTTATCTAAAGTTTAGAGGTCAAATTAGTAATTTATAAACATTTTAAGGGTCAAATTAAAAATTAACTATTTTTGTTGACGTGTCACATCATCAGTAAAAGCTAATGACTCAATAACCAAAATAAGATAGAACAAAAACAAAAAATGATCATAATATAATTATTTTAAAATTAACGGCCAATATAAACTAAACTTAAAACAAAAGAGACCAAGAGTATAGTTTACCCTTCGAATATTGACCCGTCATATTTTATTAACAATCTGAAAATCAAATATGAAATATACTTCCACCGACAATTAGTTATAATATATTTGTTGTACCAAAAAGAAATACATACAAAATGGCGATGATGTTTTGACAGTACTGGCTGATGAGTTCATTAAATACTCCTTTAGAAAATAATAATAATAAGGGTAAACTATACATATAGTATTTAAACTATTATTTTTATTCTGTTTTAGTACCTAAATTTTATCTTTTTTCAAAATTATACCTAATATTTAATTTAAGTTTTACCTTGGTACCCCATCATTAAAACTTAACCGTGATGTTGATGTGTCACCATAAAATAATGTCACATCATCATTAAAAAAATAAAAAATGTCACGTTAGTAGTTTTGTTAAATTTTTAACGGTAATGTACCAAATTGAAACTTAAACTAAACATTAGATATGATTTTTATAAAAATAAAATTTGTATCAAAATAGAACAAAAATAATAATTTATGTATTAAACACATAATTTACCCAAATAATAATATTGAAGAAAAAAATCATGATTGATGAGAAATTGCAGAGTTAGAAAAAACCCAACGTTCTGTACTTTTTGTAGGGTTTTTACTTTTTCTCTTAAATGCCGTTTTTTTCAGCCACATACCAATTTTAGTAATAGTTGTCTATTGTTAGTATTTTTTTGTTGCTTTTTAATTTTTAATAACTTCATTTTTATGATGTGATTTTTTTATTTTTATTGCATGTTTTTCTGTCTTTTGATATATTTTTTATTATCTCTATTGGTTGTTTGATCGTTTTTTTTGTTTATTTTTTTCAGGATTGGGACTTGACATCATCTTGACTGATCATGATAACGCTTATTTATTATTCTGTTGATCTGCTATGCTTAGAACCTCATGATTTTTTTAGATAAATCTGGGGTAAGTATATAATATTATATATTCAAATATAACTCTCAACCATTTAACATTGAACGCTTACACCTTGTTATTCTTGGTGCTCGAACCTGAGACCTTAGGTGAATTTGAATGTGCAGTTTGTGTACATAGATAGTTTTCTCATGATGCTCGACTCTAATTCGCGATTGTCAATGGTCTTTTAGTTACTTGATCCGTTATTGTGATTTGTTTGCCGATGTAATAAAAAATATTCACATCTTTATTTTGTTCGAGTTTTTAATAGATTCTTAATCTTATCATTGTATAATCCTTATACAATCTTGAATGACTAGTTTCGTGGTAATAATTATAAGAAATGTCATAATTATGTGCTTTGTTTACACATGATTATAAATTATCATTGTAATTTAAAATTTTTCTTTTTTAATAAAATTAATAAATTCTATTTGCATAAAAAATGATAAACTCGACATTGAGTACCTAAACAATCAATTTTGATATGTTTTAGTACTTAAACTTTCATTTTTTTCAAAAACATACATAACGTTTAATTTTTGTTTTATTTTAGTCATCGCGTCTACAGTCGTCGACCGTCGCATCCATTGACCGATGAAGTCCAAACTTTTTAGCTGCACCTTTTTTACCCCCGAAACGCGATTACGTCATCCGTTTCACCAGGAAATGCCCCAACCTCCCCAAATCGATGAAGGAATCTTCTACTTTTTCATCCTCTAATCTCCATGATTCATCGTCCGATGGGCTTGAAATTGGACTGTGTTGGTCTAGCCGTCATTCTCTCGTGGTCAACCATTTAGATTTGGTCATCTGTCCACCGGAGCTATGTCATGTCAGCCCATCCGTTAAGTTTTTTACGGTGGGTACTAAAATGAAAAAAACTATACGTTAAGTATGGTTTTGAAAAAAATAAAATTTAAGTACTAAAACGATAAAAATTGATAATTTAAATATTAAACGCGTAGTTTACTATTAAAGAAAGGGAAATGTTTCATTGGATATGACATTGGTGTTTCCCAAACAGTAAAAAGGAAAGCGAATGGGTAAAAGTGTAAGAAGAGATTTTTTTACCGTGGGAGTTAATGTAAAAACAACTTTGGGTCATGTCGAGAAAGATGAGTCTTTTGACTCACTGAGTGACACACTACATGGATGGACCGTCCCAACTCATAAGATTTCCCTTTCAGGCCAACCTATACACACTACTGCTCATCCTATAACTGTGATGGGTGACTAATTATCAATACTAGTGTTTCTGTAACACCCCCGACCTGTACCTGACCCAGATACGATTATGAGGTGTCACATTGACTTTTCAACGCTTTGACTCTTTGAAAATCCGACTAAAATTTGACAATGAAAACAATTACTGAATATTTTTACATAACCTTAATAAAACATAGTTACAATACATATCAAAGCATTTTCAATTTATACATTTATAGTACATGCCAACAAAATTTCAAATAAGAAAATCACATACTATTCAAATCAGTCTGATATGAAATTCTTTAAAGATATATTGTCCTGCCCAAGCTTACTATGCTGACTTCTCTGAACCTACGTGTGAAAACACTCACACACTAAGTCTTTGACTTAGTGAGGCATAAATGAGCGTAATAAACATTAAAACATTTACTTAAACATTTCCAAAGAAACATTGAATACGGAAATCAATATACATTCCAGAAAAATAACTTATACTGTTATGCACTGATCAATTCATATCAATTTATTCAACTAGCCCAACGCATATCACTGAGAACTCAAGGTATGTGAGTACTTTGAGGTTGTGCACTGTAATTGCAGTCGAAACTATCGCGTAGAATTTGCACCGAAGTACCACGTAGAATATGCACTGAAGTACCACGTAGAATATGCACCAAAGTTCACATAGAATTTTTCTGAAGGACAGCGTAGAACCCTCGTCTCTTGGCATGCCAATTATACCTCTAATTCTCATAGCACATACTTTGGGCGTTAACCATATAAATAGTTCACATAGGATTATGCAATTTATCATTTTCTCACATAAAACATATACTCATAGTATTTCACATAGCATTATTCAAATTATCATTTATTCACATAAAACATATACTCATATAATGGGCGTAATTCAAAATCATATATTGTTCTCCATATAAATCATTCATATAATCAAATATAAATACAAAATCTCATAAAAACCATATTGGGCAGTTCATACCCAAAATATTCACATGCTATAAAATAAATTATCATATAAAATAGTTTGGGAAGTTCTTACCCAAAATCATAACATAATCATTTAATAAATCAATATAAAAATATAATTTTTAACATAATACAAATCATTTT